CAGCCGTCCCACCACATCCGTCCCACCTCAGCCGTCCCACCGCCGCCGTCCCACCCCATCCGTCCCACCTCAGCCGTCCCACCTCAGCCGTTCCCGTTATCCTTTAAGGGACCTATCCTTTAAGAAGAACTGCCTTAAAGGAGAACACCACCCAGAATGTAAAAGATAACTGCCTTAAAGGAGAACCCCTCTTAGAAATTAAAGGATGACCGCCTTAAAGGAGACCACTCAGAAATGAAAGGATTACTGTCTTAAAGGAGAACACCACCCAGAAATTGAAGGATAACTGCCTTAATGGAGAACACCACCCAGAACGTACAGGATAAGTTCCTTAAAGGAGAACACCACTCAGAAATTAAAGGCGAACACGTGTGATAACTTTGGTATAGCCAAACTCCGGCCCTCCAGCTGCGGTAAAACTACAAGTCCCATGAGGCATGTCAGCCACAGGCATGACTCCCAGAGGCATGGTGGGAATTGTAGTTTTCACCACAACCAGAGGGCTGAGGTTTGCCGTGCTTCAATATAAGATTTGGGAGTTTTTTTGGGGGATAAATAATAATCGGACTTTTCAGGATACATAAATGACGGACAGATATCTGGATTTGCCTGCGCAGAGCGGCGCCAGTCACTGCGCACCGAGTAACCCGAGCCAGCGCTGCAACAGGCAAATCAGCCGGACGCTGAACTGCAATCACGTGACCTGCCGCACCCAGCCAAGGATTTCCGATTCTGCTCAGCCAGTCCAGCGATCAATACAACCCATCCACACAGCCAGGCCGCCGTCCTCTACTGGAGACCCTCCCCCTCCTGCTGATTGGACGGTGAAGGGTCAGCACAGTCATAAGCCCCTCCCCTCCTGACAGCAATGTGTAAAAGCAATGAGGCCCTGACTGGCTCTGTGCTGCCCCCCCTCAGGGAAGTGCAGGAAGCTAATATAAAGCTGAACTCCAGCACATATAAATACAGCCACTAAACAGGAATCTGACCCAGTATCAGCCCCCCCCTGCGGGGCCTGTACAGCAGATCTTAGACTGGGAGAGGGAGGAGCAGCACGAGTAGCCAATCAGTTATTCTGCAGTGCTCATGTGCTAAAAGGAAACATGCTGATAGGAGGAGAGAGCAGAGTGACAGGGAGATGAGCTCCATTGTCTGATGCTTCTCCTATCGCAGGCTGGGGGAGGGGCAAGAGCTGCCGGTGTCACTTAAGTGCAGCGGAGAAAAATCAGGTCTCCTGTCCTGCTGGACGGGACTGCGCTGAGTGACAGAGCTGTGTAAATGTCAGAACTGGATGGACAGAAATAAATAACTCTCAGCAGGTAAAACAAATCCCAACTATGAATGTCATCGGCGTGCTCGTGTGTGTGGCGGGAGGTCAGCGATCCCGGGCCCCGTACTTATACTAGCTGCACCCGACCTGGAGACCATCTGTATCTTTTATATCTGCTAATAATAATCATTATATACTATATAATCATATACACAAATTATAATTATTAATGATATAATTTGAATGACTTTATA